TTCTCATTATGTATCTTATAAATTTCACTAGAGGACCCCCAGTGCACGAAGATTATGAAAGAATGGACCGACCTTCCCCTGGCTGCCAGTACAGCCTTTGCTCTGGCCTGGAGCCACTTTTCCGCATTCCCATGCTGCCCAGAGGCCCAGAGTAGCTGGGGTGGTGCAGGATGCCTGCTTCCTGCCCGCAGCTGCTCAGTGCCTGTATATGCAAATTAACCCTCCATCTTCGTTGGGTTAATTTGCATACTCATTCCTGATTGGCTGGTAGATATAGCAAAGGTATGGTCAATTTACATCTTTTTCTTTTATTAATGTAGATTAGTTGCTTGTACTTTTCATTGAATTGTTTGAGCATCCTTAACCTGTTAACCGGGGAGTTCCCTTTTTAATGACGCAGCCTGTAATGGGCGCGTACTCTTTCACTAGGATGTGTCAGTACGTCACGCCAGTAGGACGTAATTTCATATATTTTTTATTTATTTATACTTAATGAAAATAAAAGAAATATATATGTATATTTTGTTTATTTATATATATAAAGCACAAAGGAAAATACAAAATTACAAAAAAAATAGAAAAGAATACCGACCAAAAAAATGGACATGTCGAATTAAAAAATTATAAATTTTACAAACAATGATAAAGATTACAAAAAATAGCTGAAACCAGTTTGGCTCAGTGGATAGAGCATCGGCCTTCAGCTAAAGGTCCCGGGTTCGATTCCGGTAAAGGGCATGTACCTTGGTTGCCGGCACATCCCCAGTGGGGGATGTGCAAGAGGCAGCTGATCGATGTTTTTTTCTCATCTCATCGATATTTCTAACTCTCTATCCCTCCCCTTTCCTTCCTCTCTGTAAAAAATCAATAAAATATTTTTTAAAAAAAAGATTACAAAAAATATATACTGTCCCTCTCGGGGCGCAACATATATTTCAAGGACATATTCATATGTTCTACCCATTCCTGATATTGTTTACGTTTGATGTATTTATAGGTCCTGCTCAGTTAACAGGTTAATATTATTACTCTGAATTCTTTAGCTGACAGATTGCTTGCTCGCTTTTCATTTAGTTCCTTTTCTGGTGATTTCATTTGGGGATTGTTTCTTTGTCTCCTCATTTTTACTATCCTTTGTAATTGTTTCTATGCTTCCCAGACTTTGTGGGATGGTCATATGGAGTTGGTGTTTTGTGGGACCGAGTGGTGTAGTGTCTTAGATCTCCTGACCTGCGTGCTCTAGGAAGGCCCCTTGCTTAAGTTATTTGGATTATCCTATTGTAGTGCTGTCTTGAATGTTATTGTATGAATTGTGGATGGAATCTCCTCTCAGGCTGGCTGACGATATGGCCGACCTCTGACCGCATTGTGCAAACTGTTGTGGAGGTGTGGTCTCCAGATGTTTTCTGTCCTTCCTTGTTTTCTGTCTCCTCCTCAACTGGACCTCAGTTGTTAATTCCAGGTGAATGTTCTCCGATTTGGTTGTATTTGCAGTCTGGCCCTGGGAGGAGATGTATAACTGGTCTGCCTATTTGGTCATCACTTTCCCTCAACCCAGGTGAGCCATCAGAGGGAAGGATCTAGTCCACTCTGCTCCTCTTGCAGGGTCCAATGGGACTCCATCCATAATTTATTAGTTTCTAAAATGGAATGCTTTACTTATGAAGCTTAGGGGGAACAGGAGCGATAAAATATATAATTAATTAAATTGTTTAGAACTGCCAGCCCCAGCATTAATAAACACCCTCTAAAGCAGTGATTTTCAACCTATTTCTTCTCATAGCACACATAAAGTAATTACTAAAATTCTGTAGCACACCCAAAAATTATCTTTTGCCTGTTTGACAAAAAATAGGTGTAGCCCTAAATGGTTTGGCTCAGTGGATAGAGCTTTGGCCTGCAGACTGAAAGGTCCCAGATTTGATTCTGGTCACGGGCATGTACCTTGGTTGTGGGCACGTCCCCAGTGGGAGGTGTGCAAGAGGCAGCTGATCGATTTTTCTCTCTCATCGATGTTTCCAACTCTCTATCCCTCTCCCTCTCTGTAAAAAATCAATAAAATATATATATTTAAAAATAGGTATAATTTTGATTCATTCACTCTGGACAGCTATTGTATTGGCTGTTGTCATTTTTTTTTTCTTTTTTTCATTTGACAAGGGAAAAGAGGTCAGTGCCTCCAAATAAATAGTCAGGTGTTGCATGTTTTTAAAATTTCTATGGCACACCGACTAAAAATTGCTGCTCTAAAGCACAAAAGAATTGAAACTTATGGTACTTTCCCATCTCAGTGAGAAAAACCAGGATAAAAGAGTCTGTCTTTCATCATAGTCAATAAACTTAGTTTTTTGGACTTGTGCTGGTGGATTTTCAAAGAAATAGGTTTATAGCCAATAGCCCACTCTTCCATACATAAAACACTTGGTGCTCTCTGCTTTAATAATAATCATCTGCCTTTATTAATAACACTCACCCACTTTTATTTATACTTATGTTCCTTTTAATCCTCACCAGAACTTTATGGGGTAGATATTAGGTTTTCTGTTATATAAGATGAGAAAACAGAGCTTAGGATAAGTTGTAGAAATGGTTTTCCAAGTGTAGTCCTTGGACCAGCAGCAGGAACTTGTTAGAAAGGCAAATTCGGAGCCCCACCTCAGACATAACCAGAAACTCCAAGGGTGGAGCCCAAGAAGTCTGTGTTAACAAGGTCTCCAGGTGATTCTTTGTGTGTCTGAATTTGAGAACTATCCTATAAAATAAAAGGGTAATATGCAAATTGACCCCAACGGCGGAATGGCCAGTCACTATGATGTGCACTGACCACCCGGGGGAAGACGTTCAATGCTGGAACTGCCCCCTGGTGATCAGTGCACTCCCATGGGGGGAGCACTGCTCAGCCACAAGCAGGGCTGACAGCTGTGAGTGCAGCAGTGGTGGGAGCCTCTCCTGCCTCTTCGCAGCGCTAACGATGTCTGATTGCCACTTAGGTTCGATCCCCCAGGGAGGGGGCCTAAGTTGGCAGGTGGACATCCCCCGAGGGGCCCTGGATTGCGAGAGGATGTAGGCTGGGCTGAGGGAAACCCCCCTCCAAGTGCACGAATTTTGTGCACTGGGCCCCTAGTTGGCTTATAAGACCTATGTGACACCACTATATAGTGGGAGCCAAATTTGAGCCCTATCATATTAAATTTTACTATATATAAGGAATATCTCTAAGTTAACCTTCCAAGTTTCCCAGAATTACCCATGCTTTGGGTTTACTACAGCTCTTTCTTTTCTTTTTTATCCTAGCACCTGTCTTTCCAAACAAAGTGCTCTGACTAATGCAGTGATTCCCAACATGGGACACACGCCCCACTGCGGGCAATTGGATATTTAAGGGGGCCAGTCTGAGAATGAGTTATTATCAGTACATTTTTTCACATTTGTCACGGTTCTAGGGACCTCATGTATAGTATATAAATATATATTGTGACATATTAATGCATTTCAGTTCTCTATTATATGTTTTGAAACTTTATTTGCTATTTTTTCATAGCACTTCGTACTTTTTTTTAAAACAATTTCTCAGTGATTTCTTCCTCAGTACTTCAACTGTCCTTTCATTCTTTTATTTTTTTCTTTCATGGGTGCCATGTTCTTTGGAAGCTTGTTTAGACCAAGTTAATGGCCTTTCAGGCTTCCTCCATCTGGACAGGAGTTCACTTTTTTAATAGTAAGAATTATATGTCACGGGGGGGCATCAGGATTTTAGAGATGCTTAGGTGGGGCATGGCCCAAAGAGGTTGGGAACCACTGGTCTAATGTATGCGCAAAAGGAAACAATTTTTAGAGGAAAATCCTAAAGTCTTCCTTTGAAGAACCAGCTACTTCTGGTTTCTTTCCCCTTAAGTTATTATAATTCCAGAAGGTTCCTTTGAAATTGAGAAGTGACCAGTTTCTGATCATGCCTGTTTGAAAGCCCCTGGAATCATTTATGGGCTTTCCATGTTTACTTCTGTGTTGAAGGGGTGGTGTAAGGTCAGGTGTAGAAGCGCTTCTTATTAGCTCATGGATAGAATGGATAGAATGTTTGCACTGTGTGACACTTAAGTGTGTAGACCAGTGAGGCCCTTAGCTGTAGCTCTACCATTTCCTGGTTGCCTGATCTGAGCACATTATCCAACTTCTCTGAGCTGTGGTTTTCTTAACTGATATCCGTAGACAGGGTGGTTTCTTACAGAACAGATCTGGTTCTTTGAGAAAACTTTGGAAACCACTGGGTGCCGTAGAAATGTGAGGAGACCCTTCGGTACACGGGCCAGCACTGTCACCGCTCAGTCCCACCGGCCAGGGCCTTCAGGATGTTTTGAATGTTGGCTGAATAAAAAGATAAAACACTCTGTGGCCCAAGTAGCACGCATCTGCAGGCCAGATTGGGCTGCAGGCTGCCAGCGGATGGCCTCTGCTGCAGCGTTCTCTAAACATGGCCCGTTGTTATTGGATGCGCTGGAATTTATCAGACCCTTCCAGGAGCCTTTGCAGCAAGTAGGGCCCTTCCAGGAATGTTTTCTGCTGCTCTCTGGGCTGCCCTTGCAGTGTCTCCCCAATATACTCCGGGCCCGTTTTGTTAACAGATTCCAGGGGTTTTCAGTGTGTGTCTCCATTTGAAGACGTCCTGAATCTAGACGTGCAGGCAGGCTGGGAAAGTAGCTCTCCCTAGGGGAGAGAGTCACTCTGTGGGTGTGAGTGGTTTCTACCCCTCCTTTCTGGAGGTCAGGGCATAGGTTGTCTGCTGCCTAACGGGCCCCAGTGCTTCTGGAATTTACTGAGCCTCTGGGATAAAAGATGATCGATTGCATACCTGTCCCATGCGTGTGTCTGTAGACCTGTGTGTGGGGGTAGGGGAGGGGTAGTAAAGAGCATGCTCCTTCTGAAGGGGCTGCATACATGGGACATGTGTGTTGCTCCTAAAAATAGTTTTTTTCATCTTTTTTTTTTTTAAATGTGTGTTACAGAAAAAAGAGTTTGACGTGGACACCCTCAGTAAACCGGAGCTCCTGATGCTCCTCAGCGTGATGGAGGGGGAGTTGGAGGCCAGAGACCTCGTCATTGAGGCCCTGCGGGTAAGACCTCCCAGCGGCCGGGTCCTTCTTTCCAAAGGCCATTGGTGATGCCTCTTCTTCTTCATTCTTCAATCATGTAGATGTAAAATGTTTCATCATGATAAAATGTGCACTCACTCCAGGCATCAGCCCATAAAGCCAAACCCTGAGGTTATGGGAAACTTGAAAATCAAGTGCTTTTTGGTTCTGCAGTCCTTTTATGTTTCACACGTTTATTTGGTTAAAGACACAAGTTTTCAGAATATTGCTAATTTTGTATCCTACATGTATTCTGAGGTCAGTAAAGAAAAATTAAGAGAATCATTTGTAAAAGATATTGCTGATAATAGAGCCTTCTTCTTCCTATATCAATTATACATTATTTCTTATTTTCCAGAAACTCAGGAGAGTTAAAAACTAAATGTGTGTGTGTGTGTGTGTGTGTGTATCTTTAAATGGTTTTATTACTTTTTCATCCGATCTCATAGTAATTTTGAAATTTTTATAGTAGCTTGTGAAGCATTATATTCTAACATATTTCTTAAATACCTCAATATAGTTTTGTTTTTTTTAATTATTGTTAAACCTTCTCAAGGAAGAATTTTCTAATTGGTTGTTCCCAATCTTTCACTGATTTTGGTTTGTGAGCCAAACTTACGTTTTCCCCCCCTCTCTCCTACACTTAGTCCTTTGTATGTAAGCAGGTATTCCCTGGCCCTGGGTCATTTTGCCAGATGGGTCTATTTACAATATTATATGTGAAGTGTGGGTATCTTTTTTCACCAGGGAGTACTTCCTCAAACTTGGCTTTAGGGGGTTCCTTTTAACATATAAAAATCTGTGGGGTGTCAAACAGTTGTTGCCTCCACTGGGCACTAATACCGTGGGGTCTGGGGAAGAGGTAATAATGGAGAAGGTGGTTATGTCAAGAATCCAGCTGTGTGAGAAGGGGAGATACAGTTTCTGAAAAAGACTTCGGTACATTTTTACAAACTGAAAACTGACACACTGGGGATATTGATTATTCCTCTTCCGATAACAGAGGGCGATTGCCTGAGAAAGATGGGAGTGTAGTTATTTCATCCCCAAGCCCGGGTTTCAGCTTTTGGAGGGACAGGCTTTGCTGAGTGGACGTGGGCAGCTGGTGATGAGAGGCGTTTGTCCTGCTCCGCATTCGGAGCGTTTGTGTTGCTGGCCAACGCATAGTTTCTGGAATGGACTCTGTGGGAGACATGCTAGGCAGTCTATCCCTAACATGTATGACCCTCCGTCCAGGAGAGAACAGGGTGCCATCCCCGAGAAGGCCACTAGGTGGTCTCTGGAGACCCAACGATGTGAAGGTTCCAGTTCTGCCTCAGGTATTTCCTTTCTCTTCTTCTTTTTTCAAATATGTGATTTTCTTAAAGCTGATTTGAGAGAGAGAAGCATCACATCGATTGAACTAGCGACCTTTCGGTGCGCAGGATGATGCCCAGCCACCTGGGTGAGGCATACGGGCCAGGGCTGCCCCGGTTATTTTTCTGTCGCTCTCTGTTAACCTGTAAAAGGCATCATCATCATCATCATTAGGTCAGTTTCCACTGCTCCCACAAATCTCTAAGAGTTTAGTGGTGTCTGTGCATTTATGTATCACTTTAGCAACCACACGTATTTCTCTTTCTAACTTAATGGCAATCCTTCCAAATGTAAAAGTAGAGGTCAAGAGTTCCTTAGGGTCAGGGCTCGCCACAGTGACAGTTTCTCACAGAATCAAGGAATGTTGGAGATGCGAGGAGCCTTCCATGGTATTTTAGGTCAAAGTTTTGCATCCCCATCAAATGTAGTGTTTCATTTTCACGAAGTGCTTCGTATTACTCTTGCTATCCCTCAGTGAAATTCGCGGGTAATTGCATGTGTAAGTAGGTTGTGTTAAAAAAAAGTAACCGATATATGCCCTAATTGTGATAGAAAGTAACAGGAAAGAAATGGATAGCATAACATTGTGCCTTTCATTGTGTAAGTGCTCAGGCATGATTCTCCTGGTGTCTGAGATGACACTCCAACCAAGTGAGCACCTGACCAGGGCGAGAATTTTAGAAAAAGACATTTTATACCAAGCTATTTTACTTTTTTAAGTCATGTTATCTTGATGCTTTTGATTTTCAAATTATCATAAAAATGGCATGTATCATTGAATTGATGGCAATACACATTTTAGTTCAATCCATGAATGTGATTTTTTGGAAGAGGGTGTTGTTAGGTCTGATCAAATAAGCGAATCAGTGTACATTTCCCCTGGGATACAGACCTTTAGATCATTTCACAGCTGACATTCTTTTGCTTAGATCACATTCCATTTACTAAGAGCAGGCCCTGTCCTCTCCTGACCAGCCCAGGATCCAGATCTACTCCCTGCCAAAAAAGCCTACCTAGAGTCCCTTAAAAACTTCCACTCCCGGTTCCTGGGTGCTGATGGCATTTGGGGACAGCCCACCTGACTTCCAGATGATTTAATAAATTCATAATTCTTTACCACTTTCGGCCTCATGCATAATTCTTCTGGCGACCCTAACAGGTGTGATGGAATTACAGAGTGTATCTTGGTACAATGTCAGGGTCACCGAAGGAGGGACACACGAGGCCAAAAGGGGTGAAGAATTATGAGTTTACTAGGTCATCTGGAAAACAGACGGCTGAGCCCCAAAATGGCTCCCGCCCCAAAGATGGGAGCCAGAGGTTTTTTTAAGGACTCTAGGGGGGTTTTTTGTGGGCGGGGAATTCTCTGTGCAGGTCCGGATTCTGGGAAGCTCCGGAGGGGAGAGAGAATGGCTGATGGCCGTAGCAGGTGGAATGCCCGTTGTGAATGGCCTAATGGTCAGTTCCCAGGGGAGGGGGTATAGATTCAATTATCTGGTCAGACCTAACATGTACTTTTTCAATTTTTATAAAAATATTTCTCAGTCAGTCCTGGCCCCTGTGGCTCAGTGGTGGGAGCATCTTCACATACACCAAGAAATGGTGGATCCAATTCCCGGTAAATGTTCCAGGCCAACCCATGGCCGGGGCAGGGTTAGGAGGAAATGCATCAATATTTCTCTTTCACATTGATGTCCCTGGCTCGCTCGCTCGCTCCCTCCCTCCCTCCCTCCCTCCCTCCCTCTCCCTATCTTTTCTTCCTCTCTTCCCCCCTCCCTCCTTTGTCTCTATAAAATCAATAAAAAAATTTCCAGTAAAACAAATCCTTGATTTTATAGCAGATATAATACTCAAGTCATTAATGTGGTTTTTTTTTTTGGGGGGGGGGGCGCTATGTTTAAAAAAGAGCAATGTTAATGAACATGTGAACTACATTAAAGCTGCTTAACTGAATTAAATTTTCATTTGATTGCATCAAAAATGTTTCTCAATGATTTCCCTCATTGACACAAAGCAGGAGTAAGTCTTTGAATAGTTGTATGTTCCAATGCCGTCTAGAGGAAAGTCCTTTGGAGAAGCAGTTACACATTCTGAAGTCCAAGGTGGACCCTCGGTATTTTGAATTAAATTTAATTGCTTATTCAAAATTTGAATATACAATTTATCCAGAAGTCATTTATTCAGTGCTTATTGTTTGTCGAATCTTCTGGCCTTCACTTGTTTTTCCCTCTTGATACTAGTATTTCTTATTTGTATGTTAGTTGAGGGGAAAAAAGAGCAAGGACCGAAACCGGTTTGGGTCAGTGGATAGAGCGTTGGCCTGTGGACTGAAAGGTCCCGGGTTCGATTCCAATCAAGGGCATGTACCTTGGTTGTGGGCACATCCCCAGTGGGGGGTGTGCAAGAGGCAGCCGGTCGATGTTTCTCTCTCATCGACGTTTCTAACTCTCTATCTCTCTCAATTCCTCTCTGTGTAAAATCAATAAAATATATTTTTTAAAAAAGGAAAAAGAGCAAGGATCTGAAAATGCTATCATCATAAGATTTTTAGTCAAAATTGTATTTTAACCTACATTTTGCACAGTCCAGCCTGCTCTTATGAGCATGAGTTTATGTAATTCTTATATAATTGAAACAATGAATTGTTTGGACAGTTAGCTCTAGATTTCTTTTCTTTAAATATTTTTATTGATGTCAGAGAGGAAGGGAGAGGGAGGGAGAAACAGAAACATGCTATGATGAGAGAGAATCATTGATTGGCTGCTTCCTGCACATCCCACACTAGGGATCAAGTCCACAGCCCAGGCACATGTCCTGAACGCTTAACCACTGAGCCACACCAGCTGGGCAGCTCTAGATTTCTTTTTTCTTTTAGACTGGATAATTGAGAATTAACAGCATTGTAGACATGGCCATTCTTCGTCCTAACAAGTAGTCATTATACAGTGACTACATAATGCATTGAAACTTTAAAGAAAAATTAGCCAGTTTAACATTTCTTCAGCTAGAATGCATTTATATCACAGGAGATATCAGACAGAATGCATTTATATCATAGGGAATATCCTTGTACAAGTGGCTGCAACAAAGAGACCCAAAGTATGGTAGCTTAAGGAAGAAGTTTATTTCTCACATACCATTCTGGAGGAGGGACCGCTGCTCATGAGGCGGCTCTATGCCAAGAGGTTCTGCAGCAGCCTGGGCTACTTCTGTCTGACCGCTCTTCTTAGGAAATGCCCTCATCTGCAAGGTTGAAGCTGGGTCAGGGCCACCTCCATCTGCCAACCTCTGGTACAGGGGGCAGGAGGAGAAATGAAGGACCAGGAGCTCCTCCTAAGCGATGTACACACGTGCGCTATAAGACCTTTAGTGGTGCACACACCTTGTTGCATAGGAGACTGGGAACGGGCTCTGGCCACTGGGTCCATGCTAGTGCTGTGGGGGAAGGGAGGGCTCTGGGAGACAGCTAACAATCCAGTGCGGCCCTTATCATGGTTTCACATTCCCTTATAAAATGTTCCTGAGTACAGTATATGAAGATAGGCCCTCTCCTTCCGCCCCCTCAGATGTGTTTGATGAATACCTACTATGTACCAGGCATGCAGGAAAGTTTGAAGTGGGTCCCA